TCATCGAGGCTGAAACCTGCCAACAAGACCAAACCATCATATCAATATCACAGTGCGTGTTTTACTCTGTGGAGAGACGAATGTGTTATTTCAAAGAATACACGCACACATTCCCAGGGACAAGTGTGCAGCAAAGGTGGCGGGGGAGTTGGCTCTGGAGGTCCTACTGACCTTCTATTTCAGGCCCTTCTATTTATTGCTTAAGTCACTGGTATGCACAGGCCTCAGGTTTCATCCTCCTCGGGCTCTGTTACTCAAAGGAGTTAAATCTTAATGGAAAAAAATGGGCTTTAACCAAAGCTGGGGGGTTTAATCTACTCCAGTGATTTCCTAAAGGAGGTCAGGCTGCTGCAGCAACGCACATTCCCTCACATAAAGCAAAGCAGAGCTACAGAGCTGCTGCTGGAGTTTATGTAACAGGTCATTCTTTATAAGGACTATACAGATAACTGCAAGAGAAAGTCCTTGTAAGGGTATTTAGGCAAAGTACGAGCTAAATGTAATAGAAATAAAGCCTTCAGTTCACAATGAAATTACACATCATGCAAGTCATAGACTTTCTCGCCTCATTCGTTACTTCCTGGTTAAATTCCAGTCACAGGTGTATAAAACGTACTATTCTGGATATGTTTTACTTAACAGCCTGTGGACTGTTGCACAAACAGCACGCAGACTTATATTCTAACATATTTATGACATGAATAATAAGCAGAAAAGTGCCAAGCACACTCACCTGGCTCATATTTGAGGTAGAGGATGGACACGATGTAGTAAGCGAGATCAAACACAGGAAACATTCCCATTTTGGAGAAAGCTTGGGCAATATCGCCCAAATTAAGAACTGTCAGCACGTCCATGTTGCCGGTCTGAGCTGCGTTTCTGTTTTATTCCGACTGCGCAGTCTGGAAGACCCTCCAAAACCCGGTCCGCAGACTGTCCGCCACAGCAAGCCTCTCCCCCCCTACCCCACCCCCCCTACGGTCTCGACTGTGAAAGACTGTGACACTCAAGCCCTCCTATTAATATCACTCATCTCCACGGCCTCTGCATCAATGTCATCATCATCTGCGCTCAGTGCCAGCTGCTCCGCTTTTTTCGGGCGCTTCAGCTGAAAAACAAAAGGCTCGCTCTGCTGTCTTCATCGAGATCGTCGCTCAGCCGAGCCATAAGACGCTGCTGGGGGTTTACTGCAGCTCTGAGACACAGCAGGAGGGAAATAAACATATAAAAATAAAGCGTCAACGCTTCATATAAACAAATATTTATTCACTCGTTCATGAAAACACCCACAATCCTGATCTGATCCTGGAGCCGTTCTGACTCACAGCCAGATGATGCTTTAATTAATCCCAACATTGTTCACACTCATCGGGAGTGCAGAGATGTCGATGTAAACGTAATAACACTAATAATTAAATCAAGATTTCAAGTATGTATTTTTTAATGGTTTTTAATTTATTATTCTCTGTATTTGCTTTAAATTCCCACGATAATAGATGTAGTGCTTACTCTCTCCAAAAAGGGGAGCCAAAGACATGCGAAAAAAAGCTCCTTTCACCAAAACAAAAACACCCAAAAGAACCTACGAAGTTCGAGAGCTACCAAAGAAATGATTTACCCCACTAGGAAGGAACAGAAAAAACAATAACATACATACCTGTCACAAAGTAGAAGCTGCAATCAGTTTTTGGCAAAGTGGCTTTTATATATCTCTTACTTGCCCAGATAAAAGGTCACAATGACGTCAAAAATGTCTTTTTAAAGAGAGATCTGACCTAGAGGGCAGCAGAAAAATGTCAACAAATACAACAACAGTTCTATAAACATATTTTAATTGGCTAACTGTGTGTGGTCGTTTTTAAAGTGCTTGAGTGCTTATAAATCTCTTTATAACCTCTTTATAAATCCTGTTCACTAAAGTCTATTTACACATAAGACATTACACATAAAAAATACACTGAAACATTGAAAATCAATTTTGGCAGACGATCAGTGTTTGGTAAGGTTGCACCTTACAGTCTAAACCCAGGGAATAACAACACCTCGTATTTCTCTGGATACCGGATTTGTATTGGTCACATTTCTGATTACGTGCCGAACGCGGAAGTGAGGCGCTTCTGATGTGATTTGATCAAGATGATCGGGGATCTGTTGATATTCGGGTAATTTATCGAGTCGTGTGGCAGATGTCACACAGAATCGCATCTTGTATTGAGATAATCAGTTCTCTATGTGTCTTTGTGTGAAGCTGTGTAATTTTGTGTTAGTCAGCCGTGTGTGGCGTAAAATGACAAGCTAACTAGCTTGGTGCTAATGCCAGCTCAGCAGCGTATTAGCTGCTGAGCTGACAACCAAACTCTCCGTGTTTGTGCTCTGCAGGACTTTACTGGTGAACGCTGGGGCTGTGCTGAACTTTAAGCTGTGAGTATTGTACTCAGTTATTATTTTAGGTTTGTGTGTTAGCAGAATGTTGAAGGTTAACTGTGGGTGTCTTTTTTCAGCAAAAGGAAGGAGTCGCAGGGATTTGGAGATGACTCTGGATCACCAACAACAGGTGTGTGTGAGAGAGAGAGAGAGAGAGAGAGTAGTAGTACTAGTAGTAGTAGTATTGCCACAAAGATTCACAGTCTATCTTTCAGGGGACAACATCAGAGAGTTTCTGCTCAGCCTGCGGTACTTCCGGATCTTCATCGCATTGTGGAACATCTTCATCATGTTCTGCATGATCCTGTGAGTAAGACTGTGTCAGTCGATGCTGATGAACCAGATGCAGTTTATTGAGATATTGAGAGGCAGTCAATTACTTGTGCTGTAAATAGCTATTTTTATCCTAGTGTTTGTTTCATTGGGAGCATGATGGTTCAAATCGTGGAGAACGTAGAGTTTCCACGTTCTTTCCATGCTTGCATGGGTTCTCACTGTGTACTTCAGCTTTTACCCCACAGTAAATGGACTTGTAGTTACATAACACCCTTCTACTCAGCTAGGGACTCAGAGCTCAAGTCCTTTCTCTTGTAAGTCTTATTCACCCAGTCACTCACAAATTTATACTTTTATCTACGACTAAAGGCTTTCTAAAATTCTGACACACTCACATCGTTAGCAGCTCGCGATTCAGTATCTTACTCATGTGATAGACAACCACCACCATAGCTGCACAAAGACATGCATGGGTTTGGTGAATTGGTGACTCTAAACCGGCCTAAAAGGTGAACACCAGTGTGAATGTCTGTCTCTCAGCGTTAGCCTTGCAATAGATTAGCAACCTTTCCGGGGTGCCAACCTTATTACAGCTGGGATAGGCTCCAGCTGCTGAATTGGGCACTGACTTGGATAAGCATAGGAAGATGCATAGATATTTGTTTCATATGTCGTGCTCCAAATATGAGAAGGGGCTGAAGACTGATGTTGAGCCACATAAGCTTTCTTTGTGACACAGATTCCAATTGTTGCCAGAAACCTAGACCAGTGACAATAATGGTTGTCACGACAAAAAAGTCAGAAGTTTTGAGTTTGGTCTTCTTGTGGGATTAGATTTTTTTATATTTTTTTTGTTAATTGAGGTTTTTTGACATTTCACAGATAAAAAAGAAATCCCAGAAAGTTCATTTCGTTCATCTGGACGTTGCTTTTTCAGTGGAACAAACAGTTTAGTTGCTCATCAAAGTAATTTTTTTCACTCTTTCTGAACTTTGTAAACAGTACATTTTCTCATAACAGGAAGAACTCTAAGCACCAAGCCAAAGTGTCTGCTCTTGGAACTCTGTTCTCATTCCACATATTTCACATAGAAGAGGCAGAAACACAAGTCTGCAGTGAAATCCCCAGTTTCACCCACTTTGGCTAATTTGTAGCCAAAAGAACAAAGTGGAGAAATAAAGGGCTCTGTTATTGTATCCTGGAACACTGTTGAGCAATTGGTTCAGGTATGTGGATTATACGTGGGTGAAAAATCAAATTTCACAATGTACCACAAAGCATTTCTCACATTATCAAGTTCACCAGGGAGGAAATGAAAAATGGCAGGCTAGCTTTCTTAGACTGTCAAATTGCCATTAGTAATTGGGGACATTTAAAAGTCGACGTGTACTTTAAATCAATGCACACGGATCAGTATTTCATTCTTGACTCTCATTCTCCATTAAAACACAAACTGGGTGTCATCAGGACACTACAACACAGAGCGAACACCATCACCACACAGACCTGCTTGGGAAGCTGAAGGTCATCGTATGAAAAATGGCCCTGAGGGAATGTGGTTGTTCCAGCTGGACATTTGTCAAAGCTGTGAAGGCGCCTAAAAATAGCTGCAGGCAATTCAGGGGAGAAGGACAGTCACTACCTAAGCAAAAACCTTTACATGCAAAGGGAGAGACCATCTCTGAATCCAGGAGGAGGCCCAGGGGTACATCTTTCACCACTCTGGAGCTGTTACTGTTACAGCTACAGCATTTTAACAGTGCTGTAGCTCTAATAGTGTGTTGCAGCTATTCCTCAACTCTCTGGCCATTAATCAGTGGTCATGACAATTTGCATATGATCATGAGACTGACCTCGTGAGCTATTGTTAGGCAATGGTGCTACTCCTAAAAGCTTAACAAAAGGAGGCAGCTGAAGTTTCTCAAGACCTTTCCCCTCTCAGTCAAGAGGGCACTTCAGTTCTAAAAACAAAAGGTGGAGGAGTCGCAGATATTCCCTTAGGAGGTGGCCGTTGACACTATTGATCATGTGGGTCATCACATCACAAGGTTTGAGAAAAAAAAAGGCTGGGTGAAACTACTGTGACACCTTGCCCTGCCCTACCATGAAAGCTATTGAGGTCAACTGAGACGAGGTGTGAACGGGCCTAGATGTCCCTGGGAAGGATAATCAAAACTGAATTGTAGGTGGCTGATAGCTGCTGTCATTGTCACCACCTCTGTTAAGTGATGGTCGTTCACAGTGGACATGCATGGCCTCTCCAAAAGTTATTTCTGTTCATCTGGACGTAGCGTTTTCAGTGGGAGAAACATTTCGTCACTCATCCAAGTGACTTCTTCAGTCTCAGCTGACTGCG